ATGTTGGATGGTGAATGTTGGACGGCGCCGGGTAGTCGAATGGCGGATGAATCCCTGGGCACTCAGTAACGTCATCCATTGGACCCTACTGGCTTATCAGTATACTTGGTCACTGTAAAACCAGACGATTTCATCTATATAACCATATGTGTCTGTGTTTATTTATTTATCTCTGTGTATTCTAATGGTTGAGATAGTAACCATGAAAAAAATTTATCAAAGTATGTTAAAAATGTATTAATAATGGATGAAACTATCGAAAATATGTTTTTACTGGCTAATTTTGAGTTAATTTAAAGATGTATGTCATCTATATTATTAAGAGAATAAGCAAAATTTTGTGGCCAGTGTATTTAATGATAGAATGAGTTTTTATGGTTAAATTTGGTATCGTTGGAAAAGTCTTGACCTGAAGTTGTGCCTTTTTATGGTTTCATATCATTCTCATCAATAGTCAATTTATGATGAAAAATATTTAGGCTGTACTTGAAAATGCTCTATCTCTAGATACATAATGAAGAAATGACTTTGTATCTTGTGAAATATTAACATTTTTAAAGATATAAGCTCATCCCGATGTTACACTCAACAAGAGCTTTCATTTAAGTACCAACATCAATTTTTCATATATTTATATATATTATATATATGTATATATGAAAAATATATCAAAATGCATGTGGGTACTCAAATGAAAGCTCTTGATGAGTGTTACATCAGGATGAGCTTATATTCTTGAAAATATCAATAGTTAAGAAAGTACAGTCCAACTTAACATAATTAAGAAACGACGTTGTATCTTGTGAACTATTGACATTTTTAAAAATATAAGTTCATCTTGACATTACACTCATCGAGAGCTTTCATTTAAGTACCCACATCAATTTTTCATATATTTATATATATTATATATATGTATACATGAAAAATATATAAAAATGCATGTGGATACTCAAATGAAAGCTCTCGATGAGTGTAACATCGAGACGAGTTTATATCTTTAAAAACGTCAATATTTAAGAAAGTACAGTGCAATTTAACAGTAGTCATTATTTAATAAAGCAAAATTTTATTTACTTATAGTTCACAAGTCAAATAGTGATTGCAAGATTGTTTGTATAATTTAAGTACACTGAAAAAAAAAAAAAAAAAAAAAAAAAAAAAAAAAAAAACAAATAACTTGGTTCAAGAAAAAAATTTTTGAATAAGAGCAATTTTTTTTTAATTCTTGAGTTAAACAAAATCTAATAAAATTAATAAAAATTTTTTAGTTCAAGAACTTTTTTTGTTGGTGCGAAATAAAAAAAAACTTCAAAATGATTTTAATCAATTTAGATTATTTTTTTTTTTAGTGTAAAAATATTTTTTAGAATACACCAGAAATACATGTCTGAAAATATTATCAAAATTTATAAATTTTATTTATAAAGCAGAAACTTAAATCCTAAAAATACCGTAACTGCATAAAACACACGGCATGACGGCATGATATGTACATTAGTATATAATTGGAAAATACATAAATGACTTGAAAGTTATATGGATAGAGGCTGTCTGTGTCAGAGATACTCATCAGAAGTCGAGTTTGGGCAATTGATTTCGAGCGGCAGTCAGATCCAGAGTCAGAATCATCAGATCAGAGATGGGTGCCATCAGTAAACGGAAAACTAACTCGCGGGGCTCAGGGCGTTATCATCGTTCGGTTTCCGAGTACAGAGAATTTAAATTGATCGATAGCTCCATACTACTCCAGAATACGGACGATGTGTAACCGCGACATTACAAAAACAGCCGTTGCCGCGATTGCATCGTCCATCGTTCATCGTTCAGCCTGCATGTGCATACTACCCGTAGTCAGTAGTATGGACTGTTATGTGTATAGCAAGCAGTCTCCAGGCTGTCGCTCTCGATTTACCCGAGCTCTGTGTGGAGTCTACCACCAGCGTAAAGGTATATATAGGTACACATAGCGTCCACTCCCTCTGGATCCTCGTTTGCATACGCCCTCAGCTCGTTACTGCCTGACATGCCGTGTAATTTCACCACACGCTGCCGATAAAAATATCCCAGAGCTAAAAAACTATTTATTTATTTATTTTATTTCCATTTATTTCGGTCCCGTCCTTCTGCTCTGCTCTGGTCTTCAACTTTTGATTTTCGCTCGGGCGAGTCACTGCTTGCTCATTCTACAACCAAAGTAATCTACACATGCTCGTTACACATCCCCTAATGGGGATCGCGTGATGCAGCAGAACTGTTGTTGACTGAAAGGAATAATTGGGGTGTAAGTGGTTACAGTTTCTCGCTATTTTCCGTTATAGTTTGGTGTGAAATTTTTTTTAATGTTTTAGTTTTGAGAAGTTATACATTTATATTAAAATCAACTTGATTTGAGAAAAAAATTCTTGATCCAAAAAATTCATTTTTGAATTTAAATTATTTCTTAGCTTAAGAATTTTTTTGCTTGATTCAAGAATTTTTGTTTTGAATCAAATTAATTTTTTGTTGGTGTATGCATTATAAATATATAAAATTTTGCTTTATTAAATAATGAATATTGTTAAATTGCACTGTACTTTTTCAACTATTGACATTTTTAAAGATATAAGCTTATCCAGATGTTACAATCATCAGGAGCTTTCATTTGAGTACCCACATGCATTTTGATATATTTTTCATATATACATATATGTAATATATATATAATATATATAAAATATATGAAAAATTGATGTGGGTACTCAAATGAAAGGCCTTGAGAAATGTAACATCGGAATGAGCTTATATCTTTAAAAATGTCAATAGTTCACGAGGTACAAGGTCATTTCTAAATTATGTATCTAGAGATAGAGCATTTTTAAATGCAGCCTAAATCTTTATCATCATAAATTGACTATTGATGAGAATAATATGAAACCATGAAAAGACACAATTCCAGGTCAAGGCTTTTCTAATGAGACCAAATTTAACTATAAAAACCCATTTTGTCATATAAATACACCGGCCACAAAATTTTTCTTATTTTCGTAATAATGTAGATGATTTTTCGTATTTTATTTTCGTAATGTTCATATACTTAAGTACATACACAGCAAACTTAATATCAATCAGACATATTTTTTAAAATTTCGCGAATAAATTTTATTAAAAACGACTAATAAGATTAATGTTTAATATTTACATATTTTTTTTCAACTATATTCTTCACTAATTAATTCAAAGATTAAAAATTTTGATAAATATTTTATATTTTAATGAAAAATTGAAGACTAAAATTTTCATAGAAAATATCAAAATCTTGTTTGTCAACCCATTAATTTTCTAAAAATAGATATTTTGATAATTACTGGGATCAATCATTAGATACAATATTAAATTACTGGAATTTTTTTGAGTTTTTTTACTTAATTTTTAAATTAAAGATATCGTGCTTACTGCAAGACTCCTTTTTCTAAAAGACTCGAAATTCATTTATAGGAAATAGAAAATTAATCATTTTTAAAAGAAAGTTTAAAGGGACTTTTATCGGAATATCCATTTTTGTATTAATCATTGAAAAAGTTTCTTTAAAAAAAATAAATGAAAAATGACTGTGACCTTCTCATTCTGAAGAATAAGAGTAAAACACTAATTTCCTGGTGTTTGGAATCCATCGAGTGCAGAACAGGATTTTCCGTCTCTGTTAATCTTTTTCTGGGAATAGAACGCTCGGTCCTGGTGCATAATAATCGGTGCGGTGTATATCAGCGAAGCGCACACAACACACTCAACTTGGTATGGTAATGCCGGGAACATGGCGGCGATATATTCTACACGTGCATGCTGCTGCGGGTTATCGTTCCTCTCAAATTTTGCCTACCGACCCGATAGATTTGCTCACCACCCGGTTGCTGCAAACCCCAACTCCAACCCCAGCCCCATTACCGCAGCAAACCAACTGCCAGTTTCGTGCATTAAATGTCCATGACCAATGCAATCTCACGTCCGTACTGTTCCCCAGAATATCCGTGGATTGTTAAAACGAATTCCGTCATCGTCAGCCGTATCATTGTCCAAATCCCGAGAATTCTTTTTTCATTTATATTACTTATTATATTGATCATGATCATTTATCATTTATCATTATTGTACTAATTCGAAATTTAGACCGATACGGAAAAGTTATTTTTAAAAATCACATAGATGATTGTGGAAAAATTACCCAGTCATTTTATAATAATAATAATGATACATATTTTTTAACAATCTTCATGATTCAAGAAATTTAAGTGAATTTTTTTTAGTAAAAAATGTTTAATATTTAATAAAATAAACAATATAACGTTTATTGGATTTTATGAAAAGAGCTTTTTAGAGTAAATTTTATTAAATATTACTGTCAAAAAAAAAACAATATTCTAAAATATCTTTTGATAATTTTTCTCATCTAATTATATCAAATTTCGTTTGTATAAATAAATAAAATATAAAAAATGAACAATACTATTTATAAATTTTATAATTTTTTATTATAAAATATTGACAAGTCAGTATACAGAAGCATAGCGTCTTTTTAGTTTCAAATAATGAATTTTTCCAAAACATAATTCGTAAAATTTTTAATGCTGAATTTATATTTTTTCCTTGAAAATAAATAATTTTATTCTACAAGCTAAATTTAAATTTATCCTGGAAAATTGACAGTTATTATAATGTAAAAATAGTATTTTAAAAACACAAATTTGACAAGTATGTATTGACAGGAAAAAAACTGTAAATTTGACGGATTTTTTTGTAATTTAGACAGGACGTTTTTCCGTACAGTTCCAGTTCCTAGTTGTATATTTATACATAAATGTGTATCAGGAATCGGAAGTTTATTTCACGTATGGTATAGTGTTGTATAATGTGGGTGTATTCAAATGAGGCGACGGCAAAGTTTTCGTGACTGAGTTGGAGTTATAGCGAGAGGTAGAGGTAGAGGTTGAGTTAGAGTGAGAGCGAGAGCAGTCACCCCAAATATGGGGATTGTTACACGGGCTGACCGCAACCCCTTAATCGGGCTCGTAAGCTCCCCACGAGTTAAACTTTACTTCAACAGGTGTTTAGGGAAATACAATAATGTCGCGCGTGCGCGCAAACTTCTTCAGTCGTAAACTTTAAAGTCTCAGACATATATATGTGTATATATCTGTAGATGACTTACTCTTAGTTGGACGAGAATGGTCACTCGCCGCTATAAACTCGAAAATCGACCTCTGTGGGTTCAAGCACACACTACTTACAATTCGATGCACTTTTTGCCTCTTCTCTGCTTTTTAAACAATCAAAAATTTTTAAATAATAATAATAATTATTTTTTAACAAATTCATTAATAATTTGTTATTAAAAAATCTCTTTTCAAAAATTTAAACTCATAATTTTTTCGTGGAGAATTTTTTATTATCATTCTCTAAAAATTATTTATTAAAAAATTTTAATATTTCATTTAAAATATTATTGAGCTTATATTTAATTTTTTCTTATTTAAATTCAAAGCTCGTAATAATTTTTTACATGTTTTTTTTATTATTACACAGATAAAAGAATTTATTAACGTAAATAAATTTATTTATTTGGTAAAAATTGATCTATTAATTAAATATAAATTAATTTTCCTTAACTTTTAAAAAATATGATTCTTATTCACCAAAATTGTCTAAATCATTAACTAAATAATATATCAGAAAAGCTTTAATCGATTAACTTTAATATTACGACTAATACTGATAGATTTATCAGCAAAATAAAATTACAGCAATCGTAGGGGGTCAATTGGGTCTCAATAAAATTTTTCTTTGAAAAAAAGTACATGTATTAACAGTTAAGTCTTATATTTTTAGAAAATAATGCTATAACTGTTCATAATAAAATATACAATGGACTAATAATTTTCATTGTACAAAAAGAAATTTTTTTAATTTATTGTAACTATTGATTTATGATGAATTTTATTTATTCTATTTTTTTGGGAAAAAAAAAACTATTAATTTTACTGATCTAATGGAGTTTTATTATATATTAAAGTTTTGGAGTTAAAGAATCCTTTATAATTTTTGAATAAAATTTACCTTCGATCCGAAACCGACATTGCCGACCTCCGATCTCCGCAAAATCTTCTCCACACAAATTTCCAGAAGTAAACTACCGCTGATGGTAAAAGTAGGAATTCGCTCTTTAGTTAGCATCAACCCCTAACAGTACCTTCTAAAGCACCACTAGCATTTCCACCCTTGCAAAGTTCTACTACCCTCCAACAGAGGGCAGCACTTTCAAGCAAATATCTTCAAACACCGACTAAGTATTTTCTTAATTTTTTTACAGGCTCTAAGCGGTGCCGAGGGGACCGTGCCCGGGAGAGTGTACAAGAAAGTAGCGATTGTCGAAAACTTTTTCGATATCATCCACGCAGTTCACGTCGATCTCGAAGGCAGACCAGGGAAGCATGCCGGTCAGAAACGGACCTACAGAACCGTAAGTCAATTTTTAATCAAACTTAAAAATTTTTCCACTCAATTAAATTTTCATTTTTAAATTAAGCCGCAATTTTTTTCACATTCAAAATTCAACTTTTTAAAGTATAAAATTTCTCTTTATCCAAGTTAAAGAATAAAAAAAAAATTAAAACCCCTTAATTGATAAAATTAAAAGCGATAACGCCCCAGCATCCCACGACGAAATTTCCCCTCAATAAACCATATTTACAAATACTTATAAATGTATATTCCCTTGATAACAAACCGTTAGAGGCATTGAAGCGGCCACTTGATATATTTGCACGTCATCTCACATGTTTCGTCGCATTCGCGTAAACATCTCTCCAGGGCATCCAATCATACATACATACATCCATATTTATATTTATATACATCCTGTGCTCTCTTTTTCCTCTACTCCGTTCTCATTCTCGGTTCTCTTTATCGCGTTTCGTGCTTCTCTTGCCCCGCTTCGTTTTCTATTTCTCCTTTGCCCTCTTTCGCCCATTTATACCCATATACATATATCAGCTATCTATCTATCTGTGTATATGTATATAAATACACATACAGATATAGAAGAGAGCAGACTGCGATCTGCTTGTGATTCAAAACCTCAGGACACTTGTTGCATTGGCTGCTTATACACGGCCCTCCCCCAACCCCGTTTCCGATATATACACCCGCTCCTACATACATATATACATCAAATCGACATCCGATGTAAATATATAGCTTTAGTTTGAATGTTGCTGCTCTCATCTCACATCTCGCATCTCGCATCGGGCAACTAAACCGACGATACTGTTTTGCGAATATTATACTGTGTACTGTGTACGCAAGGACGGTCTCACACGTGTAACATACTCGATCTATTCAGCATCTATTTGCTGCTAATGTCCTATCACTAACGTCTAACCGATACCTCATATTGTTTTCACAATATAAATATATATGACGTACACATATGGATCGGGTCTATGCATCACAAATTTTGCTTGTTATCACCAGCTGACAATATCACTCAGCCACTAAACTATTTTGACTTAAATTTACTATTATTTTTATTGGTTATTTATCCGGTAAGTTGAGTTTTTTTCGTTTTTATTTTTCCTTTTTTTACGCTGTGAAAAATTTAATGCAGGGGTGAGATTTTTGAGAAAGAACTTGATAGAAATTTGGTTGAAAAATTGAAGATCAAAATTTTGTTTTAATTTGTTTAGAAAAGTATAATTCATAGAACGTAGTTCTAAATTGTTTTGAAAATTGTATACTTGTTTCAAAATCTTTAATTTCTTGTTTTAAAAAGTTTAATTATAAAATAAAATTAAATTTTTTGGATGAAGAAAAAAATTGAATAAAAGTATTGTTTTAAAATGGTTAAAATCAAAATTTGGATATTGTTAATTTTTATCCGAACTAAAAAAATTTTTCACAGCGTTAAAAAATACACTACAATACTTGTAAAGAAAGTAACACATTTTCATTTCCTAAAAAAATATCTCATCGAATTAGAGCTGGTATACTTTTAGCGTGCGAGTGCGAGTACGAGTAAAATACACTTTGCATTGTATAGTACTATAGAAAGTACACACAAGATACACCCTTGTTCCTGGTTCCTGAGTAGATCCCGCTGCGAGTCTAGTTCCTGATTGAGTTACGCCACCCCGTCCGCCTACTCCGAGAGAAACGTTTCTTCTTAAGACGGAGTATGAGGATGAAGAGTTGACGTGGAGAAGTTGGAGTCAGAGCTGGAGGTAGAGAAGATGCCTCCGGCCGCATATTTTCCTCCAGAAGACATCAAAGTTACACACGGAGCCACACATCCAGGCTCCACTCACTCCTCACATATTTATCTCCCTCTTACTTTCTACGGGGCTTCTTCATCATCCTGCACGAAGACGCTCTCGAAACCTCTCTGGTGCTGATATAATGACGTAAAATCAGAGAAATGGATATGAATACCTTTGATAAGATCCGTAAACTTTATAAAACTAAATATTATTCCCAAATAAAATAAAATCCCAAAATACATCAATCGGTTGCTAGTCGAAGTATATAACAAATTTTAGATTTATTTACATTTCTTACAGTTTGCTTTGTTTCGTTGAATTTAAAGTCGCTGTTTCTAAAAATTATCATATTTTTGCTGTTAGTTTTTGAAAAATGTAAAATATTTTGCCAAAAATCTTTATACTCACCCGTACTTAAAGAAAATTTAATAATTGCTTAGCTTCAATTCTTTAACCTTTAAACACAATATTAAAATTTTTTTCTTACGTCTTTGCCCATCAAAAATATAATAATTTAAAAAGAAAAATTGTCATTTTTTAGATAAAAAAGTTTTTTGAAAAAATGATGAAAATTTTTCTTTATAAAAATATTATATTATCACTAAATTGACTTTCCAAAAAATTAAACCCCAAAAATTATCAATAATTGTATCAATCATTGTAAATATTAATCATAAGTCATAAATTTTTATAACCAAAATTGTAACTATTAATGTAATAAAATTTTTCTAACTAAAACAATCTCAAAAATTTGTCTATGCTTTAGATTACAGAAACATACGCATTTCTGCCTCGAGAAGCAGTGACGAGGTTCCTCCTGGGTTGTACGGAATGTCAACGTCGCCCTAGATCACCAAGTCCGAGCCCAAACAACCTCGCTAATCAATCTCAATCTGCTGCTGCTGCAGCAGCAGCTGCTAATATCGTAGCTACCTCTTCAGAAATAACACCAGTATCAAGGACCCCTAGAAGTCCTACTCCAGCGGTGGCCCTTTCAGCAACCCCTGCTCAAAGCAGCCCCCGACCCCGAGAAGCCAGCAATCCCCCAGAAAGCAAGAGTTTGTTCAACTACAGGCATCCCAAACAGCAGCAGCAGCATCTTACTCAGCAGCATGTTGGTCAGCAACACCATCAACATGTTCATCGACATACAGGGGTTGAAAAAATGAATTGCGGTAATAATAATACTAGCAGTAATATTGTTAGTACTCCAACTAATACTAGTATTATTCCTAATAATAACAATAATAATAATAAAGACAAAGAAGTCGACCCTCAAAATCAAAGCCAACATCAGCATCATCACCACCATCACCATCATCATCACCATCATCAAGAAAAAGACACTATCAGCAGCAAACCCGCTAAAAAAGACAAACCACAGTTAATTCCTAAAGAAAACAAAGAAAAGGAGAAGGAAAAGGAAGAAAAGTACAATCCTTTGAGCATCAGCAACCTGATAAAGAAAGAACCAACAAATTTCACCCCAACAACTACGGAAAATTTGAGTCCAATAGCAGTAACGACTCCAAACACGGAAAACGCTTTAGAATCGAGAAGAACGCCAGAATCTGACCGTGGAAGCTCGCGAAGTTCAGCCTCCTCCAAAAGAAAGCGAATGCTTCCTGAAGGCAGGACACCTTCACCACTTCCAGGCCCAATTGCAAGGCCCTGGAGTCCCGGAATCGATCTGTCGAAGGACACTCCAGTGGACTACAGTCTTCCGATCACGACAACGTACCTGAAGCACCAGCAGAAAATGATCGCGGAGAAGAACAAGGCGACCATGGCGGCGATCGCGCTCGAGGAAGTCCAAAGGAAGTGCAGGGAGGAGGAGGAGCTTCTCAAGAGCAATGCTGTTGGTGGAGTTGGAGTTGGTGAGAGCATTTCCTTGGAGAGGGATCAATATTCACCTGCCGGACTGATCGATACCAACCTCAGTCTGCTTGCTACCATCCAACACTTGCACTGTCAGGTCATGATGGCTTTGACTGAGAGACTGAGACCCTCGGGGCTGCCCACGTCTTTGATGGTACCACCACCACCCACTATTCTTCCGATCCACCATCATCACCACCACCATCTCCCTCACGGCTTCATACGTGATATGTCGATACCCGCCGCTTTGGCTTACAATCATTCTTGATTCTATTACCATAGGTTATAAATTATTAGAGAGGATATTTATTGTTGGTAATTTCACTAGTCTGTTACGCTGAGAAAAAAAAAAAAACAACTTTTTTAATAAATTGGTAAGTTTTTTACTTTGATCAGGTGGTGATGATTTTTTTGGATAATAAATTGTCTCTTTAATTTTTGATGGTTAAATTTTGGATTTAAGGGGAAGTCCATGTAAAAGCTTCAAATTCATTTTTTTAAAATATTTTTAAAGGTGATAAAATAATTTTGTTGTTTTTAAACTTTAACACAACTTTATTGAACCTTTTTAGAGTACAAAAGTAATTTTTTTTTTCCTTTTAAAATGGCGGCTCAAATATTTGAGATTTTATTTTTTCTTTCCTTCAGTGCATGCTTAACATACTATATTTTGAGATTATTGAAAAAAAAAATTGATTTTTTTGGAAATTTTACATGGACTTCTCTTAAAATAAAATATTGCAATTGTTTTCTCAGTGTAAAAAATATATGTCGCTTTTTACGTTACACTGCCAAATAATACTTGATATAATCAAGGATAAGTTACATTTGCTTATTATAAAAAAAGGTCCAAACAAGCTTGAATTTGTTTTTTAAGAAGAAAAATAAAATAAGAGTGAAGTTGTCCAGACAATATAATTAAATATATTTTATAAAAATTTTATTTTTGTATGGAGGAAAATTGCAAGTACAAAGACACTTTGGCATGTAACTACCATTCGTAAAGGCATAAACTTTAAAATAAAATATTACGGGTTAGGTAACTTTAATGGCTTTGTAAAACAAAGTTTAAAATTTCACGAGTCAGTGACGTCTTTTTTCGTGACGTGTTATGGATCCGACGTGAAAGATGTAAGACGTGTTACTCCGCATCTGCACATATAGAGTGCATTACACGCGCCGAAAAAAAAAAGGTCAACTTCACAATTTGTAATTTCCGGCTTTAAACATTATTTTTATTTTTTATCAATAGTTTATTTAATGATAAATATTGATGTTATTTTTATCAAATAAATTAAACGTCCACCGCTCTGTGTACTATCGATTGCTTGGATTACAATATTATTGTACAGTAGCATAGTCGCTGTGTGATTAATGCTAAAGTAGAAAAATTAATAATATTTAATTATAAATAATTAGTTATTTAGAATTATAATTAAGAATAAATATTTACCACGCTTCTGAGATGTTTTTAGAGCGATTCATCGAAAGTAGATAAATCTTTAATTAATAATTATAAATTATAAAAAAAAGATAAAAATATATAAATATATGAAGCTATATTATTAATTAAAATATATATTAAAAATACAAAGCATATGTTTTTTGTACATAATCATTGTAAAATAGTGCCTGCTCTAGAAATCTAATGTATTATTATTATTATTATTATTATTATTATTATTAATATTATTATTATTACAAGTGTTGTTACAATTACATTAATATTATAATTATTATTATTAATGATAACATTATGGTAATTATAATTATTATATTTAAAAAAATAATAAGAGAGACATAAGAAAATATTAAAGTGTCATCGTAATAATTTATATTGATTTGTAGCAATTTTTTTTATTGCACCCTCTTCTTTTTTTTCCCATTCCAACCTAGCCACATAATTATTATTTTCTCGAGCATTTAACTTTTCTCACCCTCGAGCATGTATTATATAATCCGTGGCCGTGAATAAGTGAAAAGGAGCATCGCAGTGGGCAAACACAAGTATAAAGTCAACACGGTAATTTATTACCGTGAAAAAAAAAAAGAACTGGGAATAATTTTTTTATTTTTGCGGGAAAATTAGAGACAAGTATGAGTTACGGAAAAATCTCGGAGATTTAAGATTTTTAGATAAATTTTTTTCCAACAAATTATTATTATTATTATTATAAAAAAAATTCTATTTATAAAATATTAAAAAAACTATGAATTTTTAAGTAACTAATGAACATTTTATTATTATTATTATTATTATTATTATTATTATTATTATTATTAAAAAATTTTGGTTTTTTTTTTTTTTTTTTTTTTTATTTTTTTTTTTTTTTTTTTAAATGAAAAAAACCAACAAAATTTTAACCAAAATAACAATAATATTTTTAAAGATAAAAAATTTTTAAAAATTCCATCTTTAATATTAAAAATGTATCCTCTTTTCCACAATTTTCACCTACTTTTTTTCCGCGTGGGTAATTTATCGAGCGACTCATTTGAATGCTGACTGTCAACCGCGTCGCCAGCGTCTCAAGGTCTCGTCCTTGGAATTAGCACAAAGCTTTAACCACAGATAATAAAAATAAAAGTAAAAAGTCCTAGATAGGAGTTCGAATGAGTTTTGTTAGAATATCCAGTTGGTTCACCCTTTGTGTGTGTATATATAAACTATATACTATATATAGTATAGTTACACCCCATTTCCCATTCTCCGGCGACAGTGTAGCGGCCTCGTTTCGTCAACTATATCCGTCAGCTCTCTTCTCTCCTTTCTCTGCTCAGAGCTGGCACTTGTCTACTTTTCTGAGCCTTATTCCGGTTTTCCACTTTCCTTTTACGTCTACCCGGTGCTTTTCTCGTCCCTTGCCTTGTAAAACCAGATCCCAACCCCCAGATCCCAATAAGGCCACCCGTTTCCAGTTCCATCCTCCAGCAGCTATCTTCTACCGACTTATACTTCTACCTTCAACGACTACGACTACGACTACGACTACGACTACTACATTGCTGAAGAGAAGAGAAGAGCACTCCCTTGGAGCCTCAGTCCTCGATTCCTTCTCTAGTTTTCCCCTCGGAGCAAGAACTGGGAACTGGCCGCCCATGGGTAGATGGGTAACGGCAACACCGCCTCTTTCCTAACATCTTTCCTGCTTTCCCCTTTCTGCTTTTCCCGTATCTATACAACTATATACATGCTCCTGTGTCGTAGATAGTGCAGAGCCTGGTTTAACCCCTCGACATCGACAACTACTCCCTTTCCTGATCCTAGATGCTAGATGGTGTAGATGGAAGCCAGGCCTTACCACCGACTCGTATTGTTGATATCGATTGTCCAAGGCTACCTTTTTAGTTTTTTTTTCTTCGACTTTTTGTTCAACAATCCAAAGATCTTTCTTACTCTTATTCTTATTCTGAAGCTCTAGATTGAGGACTCGAGATGATACGGGCAAAATATCCTTCACTTTTTAAGAATAACTATAACGAGGAAGAAAAGGATTTATCGATGACTACGGTTAGTTTCAAGTGAATCTATTTTTATTTTTATTACTCAAAATATTGATTTGAGTTCTACTCAAATGTTTATGACTTATTCAAAAATTTATAGAAAAAAAGTAAGTTTTTAATTAGGTATTTTTCAAACAATATCAATAAAAAATTTAATATTTTGTCAGGTTAATTTAGAATGATATTTTTTTATAATTTTTGATTTATAAATCAAAAGTCGTTTTGATTAAATATTACTTTTTTGTTTTATTTAATAAATAAATTAATAGTAGAAACATTTTTTAAAAATTAATTTTAATAATTTTTTAAAATTTGATGTGGAATTTTTTTTATAAAATCATAAATTCTTTGTTTAAAAAATTAAAAATTATCAGATTAAAATTTCACTATTATTTTGAACTAAATTATATTAAAAATTAAAGAAAAAAAAATTTTTAAATCAAGTAATATTTTTTCACTGGTTAAAATTCTGCTCTAAAAATTTTAAAAGGAGTTTAATAAATTAGTACTAGAAACATTTTTAAAAAATTAATTTTAATAATTTTTTAAGATTTGATGTGAAATTTTTTTTTTATAAAAATTTTAAATTCTTTGTTTAAAAAATTAATAATTATTATATTAAAATTTCACTATTATTTTGAACCAAATTATATTAAAAATTAAAAAAAATAATTCTTAAATCAAGTAAAATTTTTTCATTAGTTAAAATTTTGTTCAAAAATTTTAAAAGGAGTTTAATTCAGTGACCTAGCTAGATAAAAATTTGCCTAATTAGTTAGAATAAAACAGTCAAATTTATTATTGATTAAAAGTAATAAATTTTTAATAATATTTATATAAGTACAAGTTTCATAATTCTAACACAAACTGAGGTTTTTTTTTCTCCATAGTAATTTTAATTTATTGCAAAGACTTTCCTAAATTCAATAAGAAAGATTAGAATTTCCTGTATTGAAATTCACCAAAGTATTGTTTCAATTATCGTCAATTAACTTGAAGCTTTATAAATAAAATACTGATCTAATGAAGTTAATTCTGTAAATACCTCAATTTTTCTCTGTCTGAGAGAGATATCTGTGTGGAGTTGTTTATTGGGCAATCGAGAGTTTGATATGATTGTTAATATAAATAAAACAAGTGAGGACTAAAATAAAATAAAGCAATTTGGCACTCAGCTGGCGCCACTTGTTAGATATTTATTAAAGACCGGTATTTCTGTATATATTCACCAATATAACACCGAGGTTGTTATTCTCCTTTATTTTTTTCTGTTTTATTTTATCACCGGTCGAGCCGGCGATTAAAGCACCCCTGCGGCCACCCCCCGAGCGACGCGCTGACCACGATATTGGAGTTTAAGTGGCGTAACTCCATTGAATGCCGATTCCGCATTTTCCCCACCGGCGCAGTTCCACTCAGGCTCTCTCTCAAATCTATTGTTCTTCTGGGAATACCCCGTGAAATCTGTCACGGGGCTCTGTTCTAGTCTCCACTCTCCATCCTCTTCTCCCCTCATTGTACTTTCGAAAGCTAATATCGTACATCGCGGTTCAATAGCTCTCCTCGCGATCCTGGATTATCATCTCAATCTCCATCTCCATCCTCTTCTTTTTTCTTTTGTGATATACATCTATTCTGACGATATACCTTTACAACAAACTAGAACAACAAAATCTCACCCTCCGCATCTAGACTGAGTTAGTCACTCAACGCGATTCCGAGCACGCGGTATTTTAAGAAATTTAAAACGTCAATTTAAAGAGT